TGTGGTCGAAAAAGCTGGCTGTTCCGGGGTAACTGTTTCCGATACTGCCTGTTGAACATCGCTCTGAGGAAAATTGACATTCCAATTGGGATAGGAGTGAAGCAGCGGTAGCCGATACTTCAAAACCCATTGCAGAGCTTCTCGACCCTGGAAAAGATGGATAGCGAAAACAGTGAAACGGGGTTATATTCAAAAAAGTGCTTTGGGTCTGAGAGGGCGCAGGGGGATCACTTCTTCTGCAATCCGTCAGACTAACATGTGCAATAAGAAGAATCTGTCCCGATAGCAATACATCAAACTGGAACAATGTGCACCTATGAAACTCATCATCATCATCATCGGACAGCGAAATACAGGGAAGCCAACTTCACTGACCGCGATCAAACTCGCGATGCATATGCATTAGGGTTTGATGGACGGGTACTCAGTTTCAGTTTGAACAACCATTAACCACGCATATTCGAGCGCCGGTTTCGGTTGCCCATTTGGATGAAGAATAGGAGAAAGGAAAGTTGAAAGTGGAGTCGAACAGAAAATGGAGAAGTTCAGTGGTCTAAGGTTGCAAAGAAATTGAGGAGATGCACGAACACCACTGTTCACGACACCCAGCCATATCGCTCAGTGTCTCTAACCATCGGTTACGATCATCCCGAGGGCCCCAGCCAGGGAGCTTAACAGGACATATGTGACCCAGTTTCCTGGTTAGGTTTTTCATACCCTCATGCCAGGTCTTAGCTTGACCACCCTTGGATTTTTTCCACTCGGTATCTGCTTCGGCGAATATCGCTCGCCGTGGTAACCTACCTGGTGACATGCGTAACACATGTCCCAACCAACGTAATCTATGGAGGTTGACCACTTGCTCCAGTGGGCGACCGTATTTACCCAAAACTCTGCCCCTGGACGGGTACTATTAGTGTCCAGGAGAACCATTAGGGTTCTCAACTAAAATCCTTAATTCTCACAAGAACCTAGCCGCAAGGCACCATTGCGGTGGTGGCGCAGT